TTGACACTAAAATTAATATTAATTTTTATATATTTTATATATTTTTATAATTCAAAAAATATTCTCTTAATCTATATTTTAATAACATAGGTTAGAAAAATCATTTAGCCTTTGAATTTAAATACATACAAAACTAAGTATAGAAAAATCCTCTTTCTCCCTTTTATGAGGTGATGTTATTATTACATTTTCATTTATTAATGTCACACTTTTTTATTTTAATTAACTATTATATTTTTAATTTATTAAGAGATAGAAAAATATAGAATTAAAAAAAAAGTAATGTAAGTGTATAATAGATAATTATATTAAAATGATGTAGTATTAATTATTTAAAATATAACAATAACCCAATCCTTTTTATGTTATATCATTCAAGTTTTATTAATATCATTTCATAAAATTATACTTATTTCTTTTTTAATTCTAAATTTTATCTAGTTAATTGTTTTAGATTTGATGCTCTTCATCTTCTATTTAACTTTTTTTTTTTTTCTGGCTCAACTATTTAGTCATGTTGCATTAGAAATTTATTCTAAATCTATCTATATATTAAGAGAGAAGCAAATAAAAGAAAATCATGTTATGTACTAAATAATTTAAGGTACTTTTTGACATATTACAAAACTTTCTTTATTGAGAATTAAAATATCCATATTTATTGAGAATTTGAAACAAAATCATTCCTATTATAAATACTAAGAATGCTATTGTTTCTTTTATTGGTTGATTAAGAGTTAACATTAATGTCTTTTTTGGTTTATTTGGATAATAAAAAATTGGAGGGGAAATGAGGGAAAGTGATGTGTTTTTTCTTCCTTTATTATTATTATTATTATTATTATTATTATTATTTTACATTTTAGTCTAACCAAACAAGCGAAGGGGATTTTGTTTCTTTTAAACCAAACAAGAGGTAAATGCATGGATGATTTTCTTATGTCAAAATTCCTTGAATTGCTTTGTTTTCATTCATAAAAAAAATGACAAGTTTTATAAGAATTTTCATTTTAAAATTCTACTTGACTTTCTATTATTTATTTGGAGGAATGGTTGAATGATTAGCTGAAGAAAAAAACAGAAAGAAAGAGAGCTATTATTATGAAATGTGAAGCCTTTAGTTGGGACAAGTGGTGCGGCTACAATCGGTGCAGAGGCACATAAGGCCTGTAAAGCAAAACCACAAGGAACATAGCCCATCTCTATCGTAGTGATGTTTGTCTGAATATTTATTGATATATCTTGAACAAGCAAATAAAATATTTTTAATAAAATATTTCTTACTAAAAATTGTGATATCTGAATATTTATTGATATATCTTTGTTGTAGTGGTGCTTTGTCTGAATATTTATTGATATATCTTGAACATGCAAATAAAATATATTTCTTACTGAAAAACTGTGATAATAAACTATCATAGCCCATCTCTCTCGTAGTGGTGCTTTGTCTGAATATTTATTTATATATCTTTGAACATGCAAATAAAATATTT